GAGAAGAATCCTTTTTTAAAAGTCCATTACTTGTAGAGGTTGAGTCTCAGCTCTATCATTGCTGTGGTGAGTTTGATCCATGGCCAGGGAGCTGACCCACATGGTGCAACATGATGTCATCTGTCTCATCCACTGCTCCCCTCAGCAGTGTATTTCAGTCAGTCCACCTGTTCTGCTCCCCACTCTGTCTCTGGTGAATCTTCTCACCCCCCGCCCCCATACCTCTGGCCTGTACCCCAGTTCTTCTGTGCATAAATAAATGAATAAAATATTTTAAAAAGAAAAAGTTCATTGCTTGAATTTTATGAAAACTTGTATCTGAACTCTGGGGTAAATTTAACTTAAGGAAGATATGAAATAATGCTTTCTGATCTTTCATTATATCATGGTTTTTCAGATGGAAAGGCTTAAAGCGGGGGTGGGAGGGAGGGGATGAGAATTACTAGGTTGCTGAAGGAGAGACCACCTCAAAATATTTCTGAAAGTCACTTATAAAGAGCACAAATGGTGAGAGTTATAGTTTTAATTTAATATATTGGAAAGGAGAGGCTTAAAATTCTGTAGTGAACCTCCTCTTTTTTAGGTTTAATCTCTGATTTAACTTCAGGAATGTTAGATTCTTAAAATTGTACTAGTGCTTCTGGAATGCCTGAATTTGCCCTTTGACTAAACGTAATTGACTTAAAAGTCACTAAAATTTGTTTTACTGTCATAGAAGTTTCTGAACTCTTTTAGGTCACTTTTTTTTTTTTTTTTAAGATTTAATTATTTGTACATTCAGAACTGGGGTATAGGCCAGAGGCTCAGGGGCGGTGAGAGTCTTCACCAGAGAAAATGGGGAACAGAACAGGCAGATCGACGAAGTACACTGCTGAGGGGAGCAGCAGGAGGGTCAGGAGAGGTCTGCCACGTCATATGGATCTCCTCCGGGGCAGGCGGGGATCGAACTCATGCGGAAGTGGCTTTAGTTTCTTAGTGCTGTGCTTTAACCCACTGCGCCACCAGGGAGGGCCTAGGTCACTTGTTTTTAACTAGAGATTCTTGAAGTAGACTCTCTGCATTGGATTAGATTCTTTTATTTATTTATGCATATAGGAACTGGTTTATAGGCCAGAGGTGGGGAGGGGATTGAGAGGATTCACCAGAGACTGAGTGGGGAGCAAAACAGGCTGACTGACTGAAATACACTACTGAGGGGAACAGCAGGTGAGACAGCAGAGGTCTGCTGCACCATGTGGGTCAGCTCCCTGATCAGGGATTGAGTGCAAGCCTGGATGGAATTTAGGCCATCAGTGTGAAGGGGTGGTAGTATGGAGACTTATGCCAGGTAGCTAGGATTAGTGATTCTGTGTATCAATCCTAAATTGGTTTGCATAAAGTTTTTTTGGGGATGTTCTGGGAAAGTTAAATTGTATTCATTTAGATTTACATACATTGGGCTGCTTTTAGAAAATAGAATTCTTTTTATTCTGTCACTAAGATAGGTATTTGGGGTGGATTGAATTTTTATTTGGGAAAAGTTGTAAAAAATTGATACACCAAACCAATTCCAGCAGGAATTTTTGTCAGAGAGGTTAGGGAAATAAAAAGAGCTTAGAAAGCTTGGGCTTTAGTCCCCGACTTTGCATTTTCTCCTGAGTGATCTTTGGTCAGTCAGTCAGTCTCTCTCTCCTGCAGCTGCAGTGTCCACTTGTAAAACAGGAGGCCATGCTACTCTGCTGTGGTGTATGCCTCTGTACCTCACATCACGGATAAGAGCGCCTTGTATGTGCAGAACAAAGGTTGTAAGCCACTCCCGTATTTCAGTAGATTTGCCTGTTCAGTAGATCAACACTGAAGTGTTGATATTTGATGGTGATTTTTTTTTAATGGATCTATTTTGAAATCAGTTTAAATTGTACCTGTTATGGAGGCTTTAACTTTGTAATTATACTGGTAGTCTTTGTCAGTAGGTTGCTTTAAAATAAGGTTTTCCTTACTGAGAATTACTGCTTTCCCTAGTGAGTGGAGCTCGCTGTAAAGCATCAGGTTGTGCCTTTAGGTCTTTTCTTTCTTTACAGAAAAAATTGAGACTTCCTGAATCTCCTTTCCAGATTATTCTAGGAGACAGTTCACCCATGTCAGCCTGAGGTAGGCAGGATGGAATACCCAGAAAAGCCAGCCTCTAAGGTGCCTGGAATTACTTGAAAATGCCTGTTTTAAATAGACTGTTATTTCCTGCTAGTTTTCTTTAAGAATGAGATGGGGCTTTGGAGTGAAAAGGTCATAGTGAACCCAAGCAATTCAGATAGAAGAATATTTTGGACCTTCCTGGTGCCAGAGAGGTTAGTCTCAGACTTGTCACTTTTACAGGCTGAGTTCGTCCCCAGCCAGAGAGCTAACCCACATATGGTGCAGCAGACCTCTTATGTTTCTGTTATTTGCCCCCCTGATGAAAGAGGTTCTACTTATGAAGATTTGGATCCTCATAATTTGATAATATTTTCATCAATTTGTAAGGCCTGATACCTTAGCTTCCAGGGCTTCTGTGGTGGCACAGGGGTTAAAGTCTCAGTGCTATCAAGCTATCACTAGCCACTGGCATGAGTTTGATCCCAGACTAGGGAGTGATCCCATATAGCAGACCTCTCCTGTCTCGCTGCTGCTCCCCTGAGCAGTGTACTTCAGTAGGTCAGCCTGTTCTCCCTGCTCTGTCTCTGGTGAATCCTCTCACTTCCCAGCCCACACCTCTGGCCTATACCCCAAATTCTTGTATGCACAAATAAATAAAAACTAAATCTTAAAAAAAAAAAAGTGGGAGTTCTTGAGATAAGTTTTTGAGTATAGTTACTGTTGTTGAGTTTGGATTTTGTCTTTGTTACCTACTTTTTTTTTTTTTAAGATTTGTTTATTTATGCATACAGAACTGGGGTACAGGCTAGAAGTACGGGAGGGTAAGAGGATTCACCAGAGACAGAGTGGGGAACTGAACCAGCTGATCTACTGAAATACGCTGCTGAGGGGAGCAGCGGGCAAGATAGGAGAGGTCTGCTGTGCCACGTGGGTGAGCTCCCTGGCAGGTTGGGGATCGAACTTGTGCTGCTATGGCTAGGGAGAGCTTCATAGTGCCATGCTTTAACCCGTTGTGCCACCAGGAGGGCCCCCTTTGTCCTCTACTTTAATTTGTTATGGTGTAACTTTTTCTTGGTTTTAGTCTCATTGGTAACATGAGGATCACTTAGAATATAATAGAGGCATTGCCATATAATTTTTAAAAAAGATTTATTTATTTATGCATACTAGAGCTGGGGTGCAGGCCAGAGGTACAAGAGGGTGAGAGAATTAACCAGAGAGCAGGAGCAGAACAGTCAGATGTACTGAAATACACTGCTGAGGGGAGTAGTGGATGGGTCAGGAGAGGTCTGCCGTGCTATGTGGGTCAGCTCCCTGGCTACAGTGGCTGTGGATTGCTTTGTAGTGCTGCACTTTAACCTGTGGTGCTACCAGGGAGAGTCCAGCTATATAATTTTTGAGGGCTGTCTTATGACCTGATAAGTAGCTAAATTCTCACATGGTATTTATGCTCTTACCAGATTGCAGAATTATAACTATATCAGGGCTCAGAAACTAGAACTCATTAGTCACAGTTAATCTGTAGTCTGTTTTGTATGACCAGTGAACTAAGACTGGTTTTACATTTTTAAAATATTGTCAAAATCAAGAGACTGAGAAGACAAGCTGCATGCAGACTAGGAAAAAACATTTGCAGAAAATAGATCTGATAAAGGGCTCTTTCTGAAATACACAAAGAATTATTAAGCCTCAACAGTGAGAAAACAACCAACCTGATTAAACACTGGGCAGAGACCTAAGGAGATACCTCACCCTAGAAGAAACACAAATAGCAAGTAAACATGTGAAAAGATGTTCAACATCTTATGTCTCTAGGGAATTGCAAAATAAGACAGGATACCACAACATACCTACTAGAATGTCCAAAATATAAAACACTGACAGCACCAGATGTTGGCAAGGATTGGAGCAATAGGAACTCACTCTCATTCATAGCTGGTGGAAATGCAAATCAGAAAATGCAAAATGGAAGACATTTTGGCAGTTTATTACAAAACATACTTTTAGCATATGATCCAGCATATGCTCCTTGGTATTGAAATGAGTTGAAAACTTAAGTCCACCCAAAAACCTGGATGAGAATGTTTATAATAGCATTATTCATAACTGATAAAAGTTGGAAGAGACCAAAATGTTCCTTAGTAGATGAATAGATGAAAAGACTGGTATATCCAGACATGGAATATCATTCAGCACTAAAAAGAAATGAGCCAAAACCAACATGGTGGAAACTTAAGAAGCGTATGTTTCTGAGCAAAGGAAGCCAACTTGAGAAGCATGCATTTTTTGTGAATCCTACTATAAGTCATTCTAGAAACGGCAAAACTGTAGAAACCGTGAAAAGACCAGTGGTTGCCAGGGGTCACCAGAGAAAGAAGGATGAATCGGCAGAGCCTGGGGAGTTTTCAGGGCATTGCGACTATTCTGTGTAGTACTTTAAACACATCTAGCCAAACCCATTGACTCTGTTATACCAAGAGTGAATCCTCATACAAATTGTGGACTTTGGGCGATAAAGTGTTAAACGTAGGTTCATCAGTTACAGCACTTGTAGGCAGTGAGGGAGGGTGTGCGTTATGTGTGGGAACAGGGCTTTATGGACACTCTACTTTCTGCTGCTTTTTGTTAATCTAAAACTGCTCTTCAACAAAACTTATTTTTAAAAAGTTGGTCAAAACAAATAGTAATGTGACACAGACAATCCATGTAGTCTCAAAGTCTAGAATATTTACTGTTTGTCCTTTTACAGAAACAGTTAAGTCTGGACTGTATCATAGTAGAACCTGGAGATGGTAGTTTCGCTCTGGTGCCATGCCAACATCTCTATTTCTCTTGTACACAGTGGCTGATGGCAGAATTGTTCTCATGAATTTCTCTTTTATTTGCAGGTATATGAGTGACCTAAAGCTGCAAACTAAAACGGAGAGAGAGCAGTGCCAGCTGCAAGCCGGGAAAGGATGCCAATTCCGCCTCCACCCCCTCCTGGCCCTCCTCCACCTCCCACTTTTAACCAGGTAGGCAGTCTTTTCACCAGGCTGTCTTAGAATCTTTGAGTAAATAGATTGATGGCCCTCAAATATTTCTTTCGATCTCTTTTGTTTAAAATTCTGTATTTATCTACTCCTGGCATTCTTGTTTTGAGCCTGCTCTTTAATTCTGTCTTTAATATCCCATGGTGGTAGTGTTGATGGATACATACCGCTCCCTGGAGTAAGAGAACATAATAGTATTCTCTCAACATAATAGATAAGTAGTGTGGGAAGGTAAAGAATGAACAAGTAAAGTCTGTCGTCCTCATGTAGTTGGAGTGATCCTGTCCTGATTCAGTCTAATTGGAAGTTTGGATAGGTAACATCAGAGGAGGAACTCGAGATCCCTCCAAAACTTACCTGTTCTATGAAGATCAATATGTCATTTCTCTGGCACCCTTGAGGAAAGGGATGGCAATTTCTGTTGGTTGTGTTTTACTACCATTTTACCTTCTTTTCTTCAAATCAGTTACTTCTAAGTCCTTCAAGTCTAATATCCTGTCACAAAGAAAGGAGTTTATGGAATGTATTAGTAAGAAGACTTAAAGCTTTGATAATGGAGAAAAAAAGCAATGTGGCTTCTGAACACAGGAGGGAGCCACTTTGACTGTACCTGGGTTGTAAAGGATCCAGCGTCACATGAGAAAGAAGGTGCTTTGTCTCATTCTTGTAAAAGTAATTAGAGAATGACTGTATATGTGTGCACCCACACACGTCTGAAAGAAGAAATTTTGTCCTAAAGAAAACAAGTAAGTGGTCACTAACTTATTTTAGGAGTGGCATTCAGGTCTGCCAGCTTGTATTTTGGGGTTTATTCCTCGGAATTTATGGTTTTCAGACATTTTGTTTGAGGATAGATGTGAGCCTGCCCTAGATGAAATGTTATGTGAAGTAGGTAAAAGCAGAATCCTCTGGTTATAGTGTGACAGAGTGCATGCTTGGATCTCTGAAACTTGGGTTGTTGCCTTACGTCATTCTGTCTTGATCACTCACTCTGCAGTCTTTATTGGGGACTTAATATGTGTCAGAGACTTGACTAGTCACACAATTTAGAAAATCCAGATAACTCATTATCACTTGACTTCTTCCATTAAAAGAATTTATATAGGACCCTCCCTGGTGGCACGGTGGTTTGTTAAAGTACACACTGTGAAGCTAGCTGCAGCTTCAGCATGAGTTCGATCTCCAGCCTGGCTAGGAAGCTGACCCATATGGCACAGCAGATCTCTCCTGTCTCACTTGTGCTCCCCTCAGCAGTGTATTTCAGTCAATCTGCCTGTTCTGCTCCCTACTCTGTCTCTGGTGAATCCTCTCACCCTCCCGTACCTTTGGCCTGTACCCCAGTTCTATATGCGTAAATAAATCTTTAAAGAAAAATAATTTATATTATTAAAAGAAAGAGAGGAATAATATTTTGGTAAATGTGACGAATCATCTGCAGTGTCATTGCCCTGAAATAAAACAATTTCTGCCTTCAGGGTCAAGGACTCCTGATGTAGTGGTTGAGACAAGTCAACAGGCTAATTCCATGCTATAGAAGAGGGTACCCCACCTGGTGGTTTAAGGGAGATGAGCAATTATAGAAGCTTCTGGGGAGATTTGATACTAGAGGTGATTCGTTTTTCCTTAAAGATTTAGTCATGCATACAAGAACTGGGGTATAGGCCAGATGTGCAGGGTGTGAGAAGATTGACCAGGGACAGAGTGGGGAGAAGAGGTGGATCTACTGAAATATACTGCTGAGGGGAGCAGCAGGCGGGACAGGAGAGGCCTGCTGTGCCACGTGGGTCAGCTCCCTGGCCTGGGATCAGACTGAAGCCACAGTGGCTGATGATCACTTGATAGCACTAGGACTTTGACCCCTGTACCACCAGGGAGGATCAGACAGAAGAAGAGGAATGGGAAAAACACTTGAAATTGAGGAAGAAATGTTATTGCTTATTGGGTTTGTCTAAGAACGGTCACTTTTAATAGCATACACAGGGGGTTGGGGGTTAAGATTAGAGACAAGGAGGTAAAAACTAGAGATAGAAGCCTGTTGTCACTAAAAACGAAGACTCTGGATTCGAGCAGTGAGGATGGAGAGTGGAGACAAGACATTTAGAAAGTAAAATCTTAAAAGATCTAGTGATGGAAGAATGAGAAGAGGAAGGAATTTGAATGATTCTAGTCTAGGCAGTACCGATGGCAAAGGATTGTGGAGGAGGATGTGAGCTCAGTTTGAACATGTCTACTAATACTATTTTTTCTTTACAAAAGTAACATGCTCAAGAAATTTATGAACTGTGAATAAACACAAAGGAGCAATTACCCATAATCCATCCATTTGTAACAGTTTTGTGTATTTCCACAGTCCCCTCCCTTTGTATCTTAAAGTGCTTTGAAAAAAACAGAGGCTGGCTTCTAATCTGCTTTTCTTGGTCATTAATACATTTTAGTCATTACTATATCATTAATAATGCATCTTATTAATATACCAATATATCATGAATGACTTCTCATTAAATGGTCAAGTGGTATCACTGAAATTTTTTTTTACTATTGCAAGAATGTGGACAAAATTAACAATCAGCATAGAAAATGTTAAACTATCTCTAAATAACCTTTGCTAACATTGTATTTATTTTATAGATTTATTGTTAGAAAATACAGATAACAAGGAATTACTACCTGAAATTAGCTTTTACTAGTATCAGTGTTTATCTTTCCAGAAATTATATATATATACTTTTATTCTTCCAAATATAATGCAGCTACTGTTTCACCTGCTAAGTTTATGAAAAGGGCTATTTAATTCTCAAAACTGCCCTATGAGATCGGTTCTGTTTTTACCCCCATTCCATAAAAGAGAAAACTGGACTCATTCTATATATATTGTTTTAATTTTTTTTTCACTTGATGCTATCAAACATTTACTGCCTTCAAAAGATGTTCACTTCTTTAAAACTCAGCTGGCATCCCATTGTATGGTTCATACTATCATTGTTGCTTTGGATTGACTTTTTGGATTATTCCGTTTTATGCTGTTATAAACTAGCTTTTGTTATCATTAATATCTTTGTGCACTTCTCCAGTTGTTTTCCTAAAGTTAATTTCTAAAATTCTTGTGCTAGGTTCTAAAAAGTATTTAATACTAAATTACTTTCTAGAAAGGTCATACCAGTTCATCTCAGCCAGGTGGTACTAAAGGATCCTTATAACTAACATAGGGAATTATTCTCCATTTTTTGAGCATTAGTAATGTGCTGAGTGCTATATTGCAAGATGTGGTCCCTGACTTCCTGAAGTTAACATTTAATCTTCTGCCAGTTTCGTTGGTAAATAATGAGACTATGTTGTATTCTGTTGGAAACTTTTTTTCATATTTGCTAGTTGTTTTTTTTTTTTTTAAGATTTATTTATGCATACAAGAGATGGGGTATAGGCCAGAGTTGTAGGGGAGGTGAGAGTATTCACCAGAGACAGAGTGGGGAGCAGAACAGGCAGATGTAGTGAATTACACTGCAGAGGGGAGCAGCGGGTGAGACAAGAGAGGCCTGTCACGCCATATGGGTCACCTCCTTGGTGGGGAATCAAACTCGTACAGCAGAAGCTGTAGATAGCTTCAGAGTGCTGTGCTTTAACCTGTTGCGCCACTAGGGAGAGCCCTCTTGTTACATTTTTATTGATGATATTTTCCCTTAGTATATCATCCACTTATTTACTTATATTCCTAAGTAAATAATCTTTAATACATAGCCTGTCAGTCTTTTCCTATATGTTTGTTGTCATGCTGAGAAAGTCCTTTCCCTTAGTTTTTTCCAGAGTACTTCTGTGTGTATGTATGTATGTTTGTATGTGTATACGTATACATTTTATAAGTCAGCTAGAATTTGTTTGAGAGCTCTATTTTTTCCAGAAACTAAGCAGTTATTATTAAAGTGCTTATTCTTAGCACAGTGCCTGCGGCATAGTAGGAAGTCAGTAAACGTCTACTTGGATGGTGAAACATGCCAAGTGCCTAACACATGAGCCTGGCAGGTACAGGTGCTCAGTAGGTATTTGTGCAGGCCCCTAGCAGAAGCCTCTAGGAGGGAGGTCCACACCCTGTATGGAAGTCACAGCAGAAGGAGCAGACTGTGAGGCTGAGTGTGCACACCGTGGCTTGCCGTTGGCACACACTGGATCTCAGGACGCGTGTGGAGTAAAGCTTGGTTTTAGGTGTTTAGCCCAAGTAAGTGATGCAGGAGCTGCTCAGGATGAATTGGATTTCTCTCTTCCGTCAGGCAAACACAGAGCCGCCCAAGCTGAGTAGAGAGGAGCAGCGGGGTCGGGGTGCCCTCTTACAGGACATCTGCAGAGGGACCAAGCTGAAGAAGGTGACCAGCGTGAATGACCGGAGTGCTCCGATCCTCGAGAGTGAGTCTGAGCTTCTCTTCCTAGCGGACAGCTGGATCTCAGGACTGGCTTGGAGACTGGGCTAGCCTGACATTTTTATTGTCCCTCTTGAGGGAAGGGAAAATCTTTGCTTTTTTTCGCCATCTTCCTCTCTGTTCCTTTGAACACCTTAGGCATTTCTTCTTGATCTTTGAGAAGCATCCTCGGGGTTGGGACTCCCTTGTCCCCTGTTAACTAGTACTAGCTAGGGTAGGGTACATCCTTGGCTGTTCTCTGAGGAGCTCACATAGTTTATAATTGTTTCAGGTGTCCACTCACAGAGCTCTGGAGAGCTTGGGCATATCTGAGTCACTGGCCCCTTACCCTCTGGGACTTGGAGCCCAGAGAACTCTGCTTTCTCTTGGTTGTCCCTCTGCCCTAAATAAGGGAATATTGCTGCCTTCTTTTTGTGTTCTTTTATAATGGCTTCATCCCTCTAAGAAGCTAAGGAACACTGAAACCTACCTTATTTTTTTTTTCCGGGAGAGGCAAGAGCAAGTTTTTTTTTTGGTTTGCTTACAAATTTAAGCACAGGTCAATGATGGGGTTCTCCTCAGGTTGACTTGATCACCAGCTAGAGTGTATGACTCCATGGTATTCTGGTGGTATGCCTTCCAGAGCCCAAAGGAAGCAGTGGTGGTTATGGCTCTGGAGCAGCAGCCCTGCAGCCAAAGGGAGGCCTTTTCCAAGGAGGGGTGCCGAAGCTCCGGCCTGTGACCAACAAGGATGGATCAGGTACCCAATGGTGTTCTCTCAGGTTTCCCAAAAGCTAGTTACTGACTGGTCCCAAGTGAGCTTCTGGGATTGAGGCATGAGGTAGAAATGGGAGGACGAAGTGAGAGCTGGGGAAGTTATAGAGTAGAATAAAGCAAAGGCTGAGGGATTAAAGATGTTAGAGTAGCAGTATTGGCCAGCGTGCCCCAAGCCTCAGGACCCCAGCACCGTGAGATATGCCTCCTGCCGCGTGCAGCTTGCACCTGGGAGGCTGGTGGGGTGGCACGTCACTTGCTCTGTTGGCTCAGTGCCGCGTGATGCCTTGCAGAGAACCTCGGTAGTAAGCAAGCCCTCCAAGTTCCCAGTGCTCGAGCTGCTGCTCCGAGGCCTCCAGTGTCAACAGCAGGCGGGCGTCCTCAAGACGACGCAGACAGCAGCCGAGCCTCACTCCCAGAACTGCCCCGGATGCAGAGACCCTCATTACCGGACCTTTCTCGGCCTACCACCACCAGCACTTCCGGCATGAAGCACAGCTCCTCTGCCCCTCCTCCACCACCCCCAGGGCGCCGTGCCAACCCGCCCCCTACACCTCTGCCTATGCACAGCAGCAAAGTCCCAGCCTACAACAGAGAGAAACCCTTGCCGCCCACACCTGGACAGAGGCTTCATCCTGGTCGAGAGGGACCTCCCGCTCCACCCCCAGTCAAGCCACCTCCTTCTCCTGTGAATATCAGAACGGGACCAAGTGGCCAGTCTCTGGCTCCTCCTCCTCCACCTTACCGCCAACCTCCGGGGGTCCCCAATGGACCTTCCAGTCCCACTAATGAGTCAGCCCCTGAGCTGCCACAGAGACACAACTCTTTGCATAGGAAGACCCCAGGGCCTGTCAGAGGCCTAGCACCTCCTCCACCCACCTCAGCCTCCTCCTCTTTACAGAGCAACCGGCCGCCTCCCCCAGCCCGAGACCCTCCCAGTCGGGGAGCAGGTAAGTGCTTTCTTCTTCTGGGACTAAGGATTGAGTTTATCTCTTTACTCTTTCCCCAGAGTTTCCCTTTGGTGATTGATGCATTCACTGAACTCAGCAGGTTTATTAAGTGCCTTTTTATGTGTCAGACACTGCTGTAAGGGAAACAGCAGTAAATAGAGAATACCAAACTTTTGTTCTCCTAGAAGGTTGAAAAAAATCAGTAAAAAACCAAATAGTAGCATGTAGATGCTTTAAGAGACTACAAAGCAGAGAAGGGGAATTGGATGTTCTGAGGTATGGGGGACAGTGGGATGTTCAGTGGTGGGTGGTGTGGGTGGGGTTGGAGAGGCCTTACGGTAAAGTGATAGAGGATACTGGCAGCTGTTTGGGAGAACAGCGACTGAGGCAGGGCTTGAGTGAGTGAGAAAGAATGGCAGGATGTGAAGATCAAAAAGTTCCATTTTGTTGGGGAAACATCTACAAGGCTGAGAGCCAGCAGAGGAGTTTAAATAGAGGGCTGGTGTCAGTTTACCTTTTACAAAGATCACCAGCTCCTATGTCGACAAGAGGGGCCAAGGAAACCACTCAGGTCTCCTTGTTGTAGTAACCGGGGCAGACAGGCAGGACTACAGCAGGTGTGGGGAAGAAATTCAGTTCAGTTTTGGACAAACTGAGGTGCGTGAGGAGGAAAGCGTGAACGGTGATTGGCTGTCTCTGAAGTTCACAGGAGAGATTGAGGCTCAAGAGACAGATTTGAACGAAATTTGATATGAAAACCACATGGGGTGGGAGAGGCTAGAGCGTGAGGATAGATAGAGCAGAGATCTGAGGTCTGAGACCTGCAGCCTGCCTGCACTGGAAGTGAGGGAGAACCAAGCAGGGGAAACTGAGGAAGAGCCCCTAGTGGGGGAGGAAGGAAGAAGGCAAACCAAGAGAGGGGCAGAAATACTCATGACAGAGGACGTGATCCCCACGTCCAGGGCTGCTGATGTGTCAGGTGAGTTGGAGACCAAGACCAACATTGGTCTTAGAAATGTGGGGCCATTTTTGGGGACCCTCAAGTCACATATCCTTTTTAATAGTTTAATGGGGTGGTGAAGGCCGGAGGTAGAAGTCTAATTGGGATGGATTCAAGAACAGAGCAACAGGAGGAGAGGAATTGGAGCGAGCAATATAGACGTCTCTTACGGAGCTTGCTGTACTGGGGTGTGGAAAGCAGACAGATGGGATGTTTGGCTGGAGGAGGATATGGGATTGAACTGAGGGTTGGGAACTATTTCATCGTCACCCTGTGTGCTGCTGGACTGATACTGTACACGGTGGAATGATACGCAGGGTAAATGGCCTGCGTAATGCCCTGGGGCAGCCATGAGGAGTGGGGTGGTGTCTGTGAGAATTTTTTGTAAAGATTTGAAAGATGCGTCTGGCATCCCAAGGTCATTGCCTGAAACGCGTACACGTGCAACAGCAGCTGCTGTTCGTGGGCTACCGCAAGGCACAGAAGTGTAGGTTTGAACACGTTAGAACCTAGTCCGGTGATGTTGCCATTTCTTAAGACAGATTTTGGTGTTACCTTCTACTCAGTAGCAGATTTCTGTCTTTCGGGGTGGGTTTGACTTTTGAAAATGGCCGAAAAACAGAGTGAGATGCAGGCATAGACATGTTCATTGGTGGTGTTGGGGTGGCCTCGAAAATGGGCTATGTCCGTCGTAATGAATATTGTGAGTCTGGATGGAAAACTGATGGTTCCAAAAGCATCATCCCAAGTTTTTGAGCAAAGACATTATCCCTGGGGATATGTAGTTTGTAAGATGAATCTATTCTATACATTTTGAAAATCCTTGATTTTAGTCTATACTGCTGGATGCTGGAGTGACAGTCTGTTGATGCCATAGAGGGTCAGAGAAGGAGGAGATTGCAACAGAATGGACTGCTTTGGGAGCGCCTTGAGAATATGAGGCTTGAATTGACCCTTCAGGGGTATGATTTGGAGAAGGGAGAGTAATGCAGAGGAGTCACAAGAGCAGAGCCTAGGTGAACACCGTTTATTCAGCATTGTTGATTAGTACTCACTGGGTGCTGGGCTTTTGACTGAGCTGGGAACGCAGATGAAGGGACACTGTTCTGACATGAACGAATACACAGTGTGCTTCGGGGAGGCAGAGGCAGTGAATATGTCCAAAGCAGTGTCCAGGAGTGCTGGGGAGACGCCAAGGTGACTGTGAAAGTACAGAAGAGGGGTACCTAACCTAGCATGGCAATTAGAAGGAAGAGGAGATATGGCAGGTGGCTGGGTAAGACAGGATAATTGAGTGACACTGGCCAGCATGAAAGCTAAGGATTTAAAACTTTGTGATATAGAAAATGCAAAGGCGTTTGGAGAAAAAATTGAGCAAAATTTTGGAGAGATTATTGAGTTGGTGGTGTGCAGAATTATTTGGAGGGCTAAGAGACTAGAAGCAAGGAAAAATTTGAGAGGCTTTTTGCAGTAAAACAGGCTAAATGTGAGAAAGCCCTGAATTAGAATTGTGGAGGAAGGCTGGGAAAAGCAGGAAAAAAGTCAGGAGAATAGGTAAGAATTTTAACTGATTTGCTATAGGAAATGAATAAAGGTCACAGACTTATTCTGAACCTTGGTATGTGGAAGGAAGAGAGGGAGGAAGGGATCTTTGACAGAACACCCAGATCCCTCTCCCTGGGCCGCCTCTGCAGAAACCTAACTGCTTAGGATTTTAATTGCAGCTCCTGCTCCCCCGCTACCTATGATCCGAAATGGTGCCAGGGATGCTCCCCCGCCACCCCCACCGTACAGAATGCTTGGGTCAGAACCCCCGAGCCGAGGAAAGCCCCCACCACCGCCTTCCAGGACGCCGGCTGGGCCACCCCCTCCTCCCCCTCCTCCCTTGAGGAATGGTCACAGAGATTCCATCACAACAGTCCGCTCCTTCTTGGGTGAGTAGCTACTCGGGTGTAGTTTCAGTCCCCCTGGTGACTTCGCTAATTCTCGGTGGCCACTGTAGAGTGGGAATAGTTACTCAGTGTCCGTTGTTCACAGCAGCTTCTCTCCTGACTGTACCTCGGACTTCAAGTCCTTGTCCATTGACACCCGTTAGTAGAATTCTATGCTGGCAGGTTTGTGTTGAAAGGTTGAAGTCAAGTCAGCAGGTGTCATGCTAACTCTGAAGCTACCCTTCAACTCTCCAAGGGTCATTTTTTGTGGTGAGTTTTTAGATGAGAGACTTGTCTCCTCAAGATTATTCCCATAAGGATTATGTGTCTTCCTTGGAGCTTCCAGAAAGTTCCTTTCTGGCCCTTTAAAACAAAACACCATGTTCACAACATTTATCTAGTGATCCACAGCCACTAACTTGCTATTCCTCTGAGGAAGTCACTTCACTACTCTGGGCCTTACTTCCCTTTTCTGTGAAACTAGGCAGTTGACTAGATCAGAAGAGTATCAGGTTAAGTTTATAGCCGCTGCCTAAGGGAATCTGAGTATCCCTGGAAAAATATTCTGTCCCTTTCAGCCCCAACACTCCATATTCTTTATAGGTTGACTCTTTTCTACCCCTGTTCTAGTCTGTTCCTGTTAGGTAGACCAAAGTTTTTGCTTTGAAGATATATGCTTTGAAATGCAATCAAGCCGTAGCCCTAGGAATTTTGAGTCTTCTCACAGAAGGGCCTGGAGAGTGGGAGCAGGAGCCATGAGAGGCCTACTTGCATAGGGCAACCTAGCCAACTGATGTTCCCATTCTAGGTTAGAGGCCATTTTCTGCCAATTTGTATATTCAGTTCAGTTGGTTCCCTTGGTGACAATCTATGTGATTAAGAAATACAGAACTGTTTCTTTTTGCTCATGCTAATAGCTGGGCTCTTTCAGTTACATGGCTAAGTTTTGATGGAGAGATAACAAAGAATCAGTTCTTTTTTTTTTTTTTAAAGATTTATTCATTTATTCATACAGAACTGGGGTAAAGGCCAGAGATGAGGAGGGTGAGAGGATTCACCAGAGATAGAGTGGGGAGCAGAACAGGCAGATTGACGAAGTACACTGCTGAGGGGAGCAGCAGGCGGGTCAGGAGAGGCTGCCGCGCCATGTGGTCACCTCCAGGGCAGGCGGGAATCGAACTCATGCGGAAGTGGCTTTAGCTTCTCAGTGCTGTGTTTTAACCCGCTGTGCCACCAGGGAGGGCCACAGACTCTTTTCTTAATGTAAAGTGCCTTGGAGCCCGTCCTCTCCATGCAAGGCCCAGAGTGACGCTGCTGTCCTCAGGACCCTGGGCTTTCTGGGCAGGGCACGCAGCCCCTTGTAGGACGTCAGGAGGCACAGAAAACTGCCAGGGGGGGCGGGGCCAAAGGGCTGCAGTGTGTGTGGGCGCAGAAGGAAATGTGCTATGAATAATAGTCTGTTTTTTTCACAGATGATTTTGAGTCAAAGTATTCTTTCCATCCAGTAGAAGACTTTCCTGCTCCTGAAGAATATAAACACTTTCAGAGAATATACCCCAGCAAAACAAACCGCGGTAAGAGGAGTGATGAAAGTTTTCCACAGTTGCATAGGAGTAGAATTGGTGTGCTTTTCTTAGGTTAAAATTTGCTTCTCATCTTCATTTCGTAAATATCAGTAATAAAACCTACTCCCCAAGTTTTAGTGGTTAAAGAGCCCCTCTCTCATTTCCAGATTGTTTGGGTTATTCAGGGTTGGGTGAGTGATCTTGCATCTACGGTTTTTATTTTTTATTTTTTTGTTTCAGCTGCTCGTGGTGTCCCGCCTCTGCCACCCGCTCTCAGGTGAAGCCTGGCTTGGTCCTGTTCCTCAGGAAAAAGGTGGACCCTCTCCTCCTCTCAGAAGGCCCCTCCCACCCCCTGAAACCTGCATGAGAGCTCCTAACGTGTTTCTCCAGTGCAGCCAACCTCGAGACTCCAAGCGTCCTCCCAGCTCACCGCCATCTATGCCTCTCATCTGTGGACTTGGTGATCAGACTCCTCCTACCGACAGTTGGGTGTCACACCCTGCACTATCCCTCTTAGCCATCCTGCTAGCCAGATGAGGAAAAAGCTTCCATGTCTCCTGCTTTCCTCTTGGGGAAAGGTGCCTTGTTGAGATGAACTAACTCGTCATTGGGACAGGGTGGGGAATGGTACTCTTCCCTCCTTCTAAATACTGTGAGGGATGCTTTGCAGAAATACTAAATTTCATCAATCAGGAGGCTGGCGTGGCCAGAACTTCTGAGGGATGGGCGTTTTTAGTGAAATAAGAAAAGGGTTTGCAGAGAAGTGATCTGTTTTAAAGGTCAGGTTTTGAAAAAGGACAAGGAAATGGATCTGCTTTATTATTAGGGATATTCTGGTTTTATTTTCACCCATCCCACATTCCCACCCCAGCCATAAGTTGGATTTAAATACTAAATACTAATCAATTGAACTAAACATCTAATAAAAAGAGGGGGTGAGATAATCTGGGGGTATTTTTAAAGCTAGTCCATTCCTCTGCAGCAAAGGGACCATGAGCCATTTGAGTCCTCTGGGACTCCCTGTCCATTTCCCCAGGTGCTGAGGTGGCGGGGAGCTCCCCTCGCCACCCAGCCCCTCAGGAGAAAAGTCGCTTTCATTCATTCCAGATTCACACATCCCTGTCACCTCCAGTGCAAGATAGGGTCTGAGCCTTGATCTTAACCTTGGCCTTGAGTCTGCCTCAGTCTTTTCTGACTGGCCCAAAAGGTTAGTGACCCTTATGGTCCTGTCTGGAAACTTTAGCCCCTGATGGAAACTCCAGGATGATAAAGAAGGGAAGGGAAGCCCCCTTGTGGAAGTGACCAGCTCTGTGGGCCATGGAAGACTGAGACCTGCTCATTCTGAAGCTCACAGCCCATCTGACTGAGCAGGCTCTTTCTCTTCCTTTGGCCACCACCCTTGCCTCCCCAAGATTGTGGAGGTTAACACAGAAGCATAGAGAAGGGTGAGGAGGCTTGTGGGAATAGTGGAAGGTTCCTCTGTACACACAGACTTCGGTGAGCAGTGCCTCAGGCCACTCATCTTCCTTGGCAGCCAGAGTATGCTGTTTCTTTGTCTTCCAGGTCTGGGTTAAAGAGGAGAGAGAAAGCAGAGGTTCCAGTCTGGGCAGGAGCTAGAGACTTCCCCTCCCGACAGCAGGGTGGGTGTCCCAGACTCTACGCCAAGCTGTCTGATGTGCTACGGCCCCTGCCAGGTTGCAGAGCCTGCTCAACTTGGAGCAAGAGCAAGGAGGCTGTGGCTGACCCTTGAAATGGATGGGGAAGACAGTTAAAACTTCTCCTCAGCTCCGTGATGAGCCGAAGTCACCCATGCAGGGTCTGTTGCTTCTCAGACTAAGGGCCTGAGTGCGTTCCCAGATGAAGCCCAAGTCTCCCAGTAGAGAGGAGGGAGGACTTAGTGTGGGTTCCTCTGTGGGATGCATCGCCCCTGCTACCCCTGCACCATTGACTCTTGGGACAAGCCGTGATTGGGGCTGTTACCAAATGCATTCCAGTCATTCTTTATCATTCTTCCTTTCAGATCTGTTAGATGTGAGCAGAGCTGAGGCAGGGGACCCTAGTGGAGGGAAAGGAGAGGACCAGTTGACACTGCAGCAGCATTCCAGGGTAGATGCTGACCGGTTACTGAACTTGGACTGTGAAGTCTTCCCATTTGTTTTTGAAATGGGAGTTGATGCCTTTTGTACAATGTTATCAAAGTGTTTTTTTTTTTTTTCCCCTTTTACTCAAACTTGAGCATCAAAATTAGTATCACAAGTAACAACCAAACCCCAACTTTTCATTGGGGCTGAGACCTTCCTCTCCTGACCTGCTGACCCCCCTGGCATTTGGACTGTGTCATGTGGGTGCTGGTTGTGTTTTCACTTTCCTAGCCCTGTGAGAACAGACGGGGGCCTGGCTAGAATCAGCTGGGTTTTCTTCAGAGCATGTTGACGACACAGCACCTTTTTAAATGTCTCTGCCTTACACATCACTTGGTTCTTCTGTTAATAGCAAATTATCATGTATATTTACTGTTGACAAAACAGGAATGTGATCCTCATAGTTACTGATCTATTTTGTATGTTGTGAAAAGCTTGTAATACAGATTTAAGGTGGGCTGGCTGCAGGAGCACTTAAACTTCTCACCTTTAAACTGCTCTCTCTACCTGCTGTGGGATTTCGCCTCTTCAGTGGGAGATTGGGTGGCCTCATGTTGAGGCTGCTGCCTAGCCCTCTTAACCCTCTTCTCCTGTCCCAGAAGGAAGAGACATTGTCCAACTAAGCACCAGGAAGCTGTGTGAAAAGCCCTTGTGTGGGGTTGGCTTTATGATGTTCTTCCCTAGTGGGAAAAACTGAATAGGTGTTTCTTACTCTCCTATCTGGGGAGCAGGGCAGTGGCCTCCACATTTTTAAATGAGCGAGATGCCCCACTTCCCCCTGTTCTGTGGTCACCAAGCCTGTGTCACAGCACTTTGCTGTTCCAGGTGTGGTTCTCTCTGTCGTGGGGTTTCCTTTAACTGCACAGCCCTGTTATTTTCACGACCAGGGCCTGCAGAGCTTCGGGCTGCCCCCTGCTCCCCATGGACGTGAAGCTGCTGTCTGCAGGAACTCATCGCAGTCCCCCCAGCTGGCAAAGGCGCTGGGGCATCCGCTCACCCCGGGCTTCCCAACTTGAAACTCAGATTTACCTCCAGGGAGAGGCGAGAAAAAATTGTAAATAGACTTGCTACAGAGCAACTCAGGGTTGGGGTGTGTTTTAATTCTCCTGGTCACTTGAAATAATCTGTAGGTGAGTGCTTATGGGAGTGGGGGAGAAGTATGACTCCAGGGTCCTTCCCTTCTGCAAAGCTCTGGGGGTGGAGTACAGGCACTACACTGAGCTGTCTGTCCTGAAACCCCAATGCTGGTCAGCAGCAAATCAGATTCTTCACAGTCCAAGTCGTCGTCTTTCTCTGTTGCATCTCAGTCCTTGGCTGTGTAGTCAAGGTGGCTCTCTGGAAGCCACCCTAACTTAGGGGATGGGAGGCATCAGAACTCTACCTTCAAGATTCATCTCTTAACAGTAAAATGAAAACAGTCACAGCCACCTTCAAAACACATACAACAAAAAAGGATCGCTGTTTAACTGAAGGAAGGGTTTGGTTCCATTCAACTCCACGGTCATTGTGCCTTTACTTGTGTTAGATTCTGTGCTTTCTCCCTCTCTCCCTCTTTGAAGCAATTAAAACTTCCTTGATAACTGCCGTTTCCTTCTTTCTACTCTTGTTTCTAATAATTTAGTGGGCTCCCTCTCTAGTTGTCTTAAATCTCATTCCAGTGGCGGCCGAGGGGCCTAGCCGCCGCCTCTCTGACCTTTGTTTTTTCCCGTGACGACCAGCGTGGAAGTCATAGTCAACACTGAATAAAAGACTAGAATGGCAGGTGTGCAGAGAGAGCCTGTGTGTGTGTGTGTGTGCGCGCGCATGCATCTTGCATGTGGATTAGGTCCTTTAAGAAAATAATTTATTGTATGATTTATTTTGAAGTTATATTCTGAGTACAGTGTTCCTTCTCCCAATCAGCATTGATTCCCCCCCACACACCCCCTGACCCACACCCCCACTGTATGATCTAGTCTCAGGTTGCATTCTTTGGTACAGTTCTTTCTTCTGGTTGCCATGCAGTTTAATTAAACCTTGCTTTAAAACAAAAACAAACAACTGAAAACCGTGTGCTCTTGTCTGGAATTCCGCCTCCAGTGGTGGCGTGTAGAGGGGAGGACGTGTTGCCCCAGGTTGGTGTAGTGGTTTGACGCCAGGCCTCTGAGCAAGTGGATGCCCAGATGTGGGCGAAACCTCTGCCGATGCCCAGGATTTTATCTTCTGCCTTGGTTTGAAAATCCCAGTGGTGCTTAGCCGTGCCGACGGACTGGTGCTGATAGACTCGGTCACTGTTTCACACCTGCCGCCTCACCATGATTAACCCATGATTTCAGGAACCCAGGAGACCCTCTGGCCTCGTGTCCCTCACATCTCCTGTCTGTAGACCTGTGTTGCGTGGCAAATGTTCAATTGAGGAGCGGAAGAAAGGTGGGGCGGAGCGTGCACTGTGCAGCTATTTTTATGCGAGTATCGCCTGTTTCCCTGCTTTTTAGGTTGAAATCTTAACTGGTTTCCTTGAACTTTGACTTTAGGTGTGGAAATTGACCCACACCCTTCTGCTTGCCGTGGTCAGCCGACATTATCACCACTAAGACTTAATGAGCTTAACTTGCACTTTCATCACTAGCTAAGGTCTTGAAATTATTTCCCATACTGATTCATAATCGGTGTGTGTATGAATCACGCTCATGTAATTTAGATATAAAAACCTATGGGAGGGAGGAGGGGGGCCTCCTTTCATTTTCATCCATACTTGCCAAATTGGCTGAATTCCTAATGATTGGACCCATTGTTGTTATTAATATGATTAATAAACTATTTATTGATTTCATTGTTCCTCCTGTGACTTTAAATAGCCCTCAAATGGGACCAGCCTAAATGGCCCTCAACTTCTTAACCCTGTTTGGGGAGGAATTGCGTCTGTGTGTTTCCTGCATGATGCTGTGTATGAGCTAGCAGGTGATAAGAACAGCAGGTTGCCCATTCTAATGGCTGCCTGAGCCACAGTTGCTCACAGTGAGTGTGCCTGTGAAGTACTACCTCGCCTCGCGTGGCCACAACTGTGGCTCACTGTAAGAAAGCTGTGCACTTCTCACTTCGATGACTGCAGACAGAGGTAAGAGAACTACAACATCCACTCAGGAGTTACCACCCCAGTGGATAATGGGAGCAGTGCCCAGCCTTTGACATCACTGAAGTCCAATCTGGATACTTTTTACACATGACTGAGTCATATTCCAAGCCTCGGTGTAGGGGTGGGAGAGCCGAAGGACCATACTTTATTTGAACACAAAGACTGTTCCTCCAAAAGGCGGACACACCCACTTGGCAGAAAAGTCCTTCGCATCTATTTAGCAAGCATTGCATACTTTGTGCCAGGCATCTACAGTATGAAGATGAGTAGGACGTGGTCTTTGCCTCAAGGAGCTCAGCATCTAGTGGAAGACTTGAGGAAAGCCACAAGGAGAAACCTGTGCAGGGTTATTAAAAGGTCTTATGTTAAGTAGCCAGGGAAGGAGAAGGGCGAGCTTGCTGCATTGCAGACAGGGACAGCAAGGACAGGCACAGAAGAGGAAGACTGTATTGGGGTCTGCACAGCCTTCGACTAAGGAGAGCTGTAGTGAGTGCCCTATCAGAGACCTTTCCATCCAGGGATTCTCTGCCTGCTGCACAGTGATCTCAAACATTTTCTGGGACCAATGCTGCATATCCTGATGTCTTCATAAATTCCATTGTGTACACTTAAGTATGCATAGCTTTCTCTATCCCCTATAACGGGGGTAGGTGATTCATTTTCCCTGAAAGTTGGCTGGGCATTCTACCATTTTGTGTTATTTAAGGGCAATTTTCAAGTGCTGCTTCCTAGGTTCTACCCTCTTAAGAGGTAAGAAATAGCAAACAGTCAAAAAGCTCCATTCTGTAAGCCCTCTTCCTGTTTATGGTAGCCTGCTATCTTCATGCTTGTAGTTTTCAGCTTCTAGAAATCCTTCCAAAATATTCATTACTCCCTCTCTAGAAGGCCACTTCAGAACTTACAGATGTCTGATCTTCCCCCTGTAAGTGAGTTTATCAGATTCCCTGAGTTCAAATTCTACTTCATACACTATTACAGCCGTGTGACTTGAGCAAATTTACTGAATCCCCTCCATTTCAGTTTCCTTACTTGCAAAATGGAACCGTATAGGATGAAGTTCCTCTTATGAGAATAAGGTGATATGGGTTAAATACTTAAGTTCAGTCACTGGCATACAAACTCTCAGTATTGACTCATCTCCTATAGAACTAACTACAATGAACTGATTGATGGCTGCAGTATTATTTTCCTATTTCTTGACTTTATTGCTCTATTTCATTTTGTTGAAGGATAAACATCATCAACATCATCGTTACCTAGGATTGGTTGTTGGCTTTCAAAAGGACATGAGGTTTAGCTAGGTTATTAGCTTTGGAAACTGGCCTGTAAATTACTGCTCTAATTTATATTTTTCATTAAATGCTCAGCTTGCCTCTTCTACAGTTGTCTTGGATGGCCCTGAAACCCTAGTGTTTAGTCATTAAAAAAAATTAAGGGACCATAATTCTTTCCAGTGTGTATTATTAATGGCACGATAAGAAGGTACACAGAATATGTTTACCTTTAACAAAATCATTTTCTCACCTTTGAAACACATCAGGGAGATACTGTAGTGCAGTGCATTTATGTATGTGTAGCGTTTCCCCCCCCCCATTTTTTTTTATTTGGAGATTGGGAGAAATTTTCAGAAAATTTGGGTCCTAAGTCGACCCTTCACTGCCACCAACATGCTGTGAGTTCTAATTAAACCTTCCACACATTTGCTTTGTGCTGAGCAGGGCTGAGCATGGGAGAGGTTAAGTAAAGCTACTAGCATCATGCCTGACACTCAGGACCGCCCAACACCTACCAATAAACGGTAGGCAATATAGCATAACTTTAGGTATGAGTGGCAGTGAGAACTACCACAACTGCACGCCTCCGATTGAAAGACCAACGCGGAAATACCGAAGGGTGTTTGGCAAAGACTACATCTCCCGTGAGGCTTCGCGGCGCGACCATCTCGCCTTACCCAGTCTACCCTGCTGCAAGCACCAGGTCTTTCCGGGGCCCCGGATGTAGACGCGAGCAGAGCTTAATGGGTGGGGCCTCGCCATGGCGCTGAGTCTTAAGATTCTTATTGGTTGTGAGCCTCCCGGCCTGATTGGCCATGAACAAAGGGGCGGTGCTCACAGAGCGGCGGTCTGGAGACAGCCAATGAGAAGTCTGCCGGGGCTTTGGCGGGAGGCGGGAAAGCTGCCTGAGTGCAGATTTGGCGCGAGCGCGCTGGGGCTCTCCTGCCACCGAGTGTAGTTCCGAAGCTTGTGGTGAAGGATCCCTGAAGCCGTGTGCGAGACACGCGAGAAGGAGACGGCACTGAGGTGACGCCTGGGCGAGGAGTAGAGCAGGAGAGATTGCTCCGGGAGTTGGAGGAGTTGGGGGCGGCTGTGGCGAGGACCGCGGGCTTCCTTGCGGCCGGAGCTGGAGGGCGGGGAGGACAGGTCAGATCGTGGGGGGCTGAGGTCCGGGTGAGGGACGGGAGCTGTGCACCCGCGGAGTAGCCTGGCGGGTGTGCGTGAGGGGAAGTTGTTGGACGCTGTAGGAGGGAGACGTTCGCTTTGAGGTGGGGGGTGCGTGGCATGGGGACTCCGAACGGGGCGGAGGACAGACCGAGGGCTTGGGGAAGGCTGACTGTCGGAGGTTGCTGGACTGCGCTGGCTGTCGTTAGACTGAGACTGGAGCCGGGTGTCAGACGTGCTAACGAAATCAGCTGAGAGAAACTTATGCTGCACCAAGTGGTTAAGAGCTTGGACTCTGAAGCCATGTTACAGGGCAGGGAGAGGGACACCCCTGAACCCCAAAACCTGCCTGCCGCCTTTTGGGTGGGGCAGGGAACCTGGAGCCGCCCTTTTCCTGGGGACCACCCTGTTGCAGCCACACTCCTGGGGGTTAGCCTTCTTTGCTGTGGCCTGGGCCCTGTGTGCTCCTCGGTTTTCTCAGTTCAGGACAGAGATGTCTCCACCTCTCTGGTAGGACTCACGGGAGTCGTGGTGTAGCAGTGTCCTACCCATAGCAGGTCAACAAGTGTTGGCTGTTACTGCCGGCTTTGCAGGTGAAGCAGAACTAAAGGCCAACATTTTGTTATGACATCCTTTACAAATGAAATGAGGTTTTGTCACCCGTATAAATTCCTTCAGTATTTTGTCCTCACTTTTACATGTTGACTGACTGTCCTCTTTTTTGTATTCAGTTGTGTTCTCATCATGCCTCAAACCAGATCCCAGTCCCAGGCCACGATACCCTTTCCAAGAAAGAAGCTGTCTCAGACGTTGGGCAAAGCTAAGCAATGCCGTGACACCAGACTAGAGCTGACAGATGTCCAGGCCAAACCTCATCCTTCCCGTGAAGGAGTTCTGCCTCTCAGCCCCAGAAAACGTTTGGGTAAGCTATCAGTTACCTAAGTATAATGTTCTGACTAGTGTCTCACACCCTCTCTTTCCCGGGTGATAAGATGCCTAGTCCTTTGAAGCAGCTTTTAAATTCAGTTAAAATCGCTACCTACTTTGGTTGTTTTCAGAATGATTGCTACGTGCTTACTGGACTTCAGAGCTAAGCCACTCAGGGAGAGCACTTCCTGGACCACATAGTAGGGCTGACCTTCAGTTCCTGAATAGTGAACTTGATGCTGTCAGTAGCTTGAGTGATCTTGCAGATAGTCAGATAGCAAATAGTATTTCGAAATCTGCCGCAGTATTTGTGAAGCTAAGAGAAGCAGGTGACATGCTTCTTCTAGAACATCTGTTTTTAGTGAGGGGTGATTTGGCAACATCTAGAGGCATTTTTGGTTGTCAACTGAGGGGACACTACTGGCATAGTGGATAAAGGCCAAAGGTCCTGCTAAATTTACAATGCACAGGACAACCACCACCCCGAAGAATTTCTGGTTCAAGATAGCAACAAACCAAAGTTTAGAAACCTTGTTTTAGTACAATTGCAGAAGTTCATCCCACTAAAACACGGTTTCTGTTAAATATAGTAAGAGTCATTGGTGCCATCTGGTGGTCAGTATGTGCGTCTGGAGGAGAGACATTTTATTTTGGCTGTCCTTACCGTAGATGGTCCCTTCTAGGGGGAGGCCAAGCTCATTGCAAATCCATTTTTTTAAAGATTTATTCATTTATGCATACAAGAACTAGGATACAGGCCAGAGGTAGGGGTGAGAGGATTCACCAGAGACAGAGTGGGGAGCGGAACAGGCAGATCTACTGAAATGCACTGCTGAGGGGAAGCAGTGGTCGAGACAGGAGCGATCTGCACTGTGTGGGTCAGATCCCTGGCTGGGAATAAAACTCATGCTGCAGTGGCTGTGATCGCTTCATAGTGCTGTGCTTTAACCCCTTGTGCCACCAGGGAGGGCCCTTTTTGCAAATCCATTTAATATCCACTGATATTAATGACCACGTTTTGATTTTAACATGTTTCAGGTGATGACAACCTGTGCAACACTCCCCACCTAGCTTCCTGTTCTCCACCAAAGCAAGGAAAGAAAGAGAATGGACCCCCTCGCTCACATATTCCTAAGGGGCGCAGGTTGATATTTGACAATCAACTGGGGATTAAATCTCCTAGCAAAAGAGAACAAACCGGAGTTTGCCAAAACAAAATAAATATCTCGGTCCCAAAAGTTCAAGAGATTACAACAAATTCTGAGCAGAGATGTCCACCAGAGAAGGAATCTGCGTGTATGAGACTGTTCAAACAAGAAGGTTTGTTCTTACGTGGCAGCTGTTAATGCAGTCTCATAAACGAGACTGGAGGCTCCAAATGTGGCCCTGGGGGTCTTTCAGTCACCTCTGTTGTGTCTAATTGTCCTTTCATGTCTGGCACAGGCACTTGCTACCAACAAGCAAAGCTGGTCCTGAATACAGCTCTCCCGGATCGGCTGCCTGCCAGGGAAAAGGAGATGGATGTCATCAGGAATTTCCTGAGGGATCACATCTGTGGGACGAAAGCTGGAAGTCTTTATCTTTCTGGGGCTCCTGGAACTGGAAAAACTGCCTGCTTAAGCCGAATTCTGCAAGACCTCAAGGTACATTGAGAGTCTGAATTACCATTAAACAATTCTTAGTTATTGAGGGTTAAGAAAGAATAGAAGTGTTTAGGAGATTGAAGATTCCCCCAAACAATACATTTTTAGCTTCATTACCTCAATCTTTCCAGTAAAATTAGAGCTTACTTTCTTGTATGTTGCTAACTCCTTTAACTTCAGAATCCCATCCTTTTTTTTGGCATAGAAGATCTGGGGTATGAGCCAAGAGGTGTGGGGGTGAGAGGATTCACCAGAGACAGCGTGGGGAGCAGAACTGGCTGATCTACTGAAATACACTGCTGAGGGGAACAAATGGGTGAAAAAGGAGAGGCCTGCTGTGCCATATATGGTTTAGCTCCATGGCAGGGGATTGAACTCAAGCCATAGGGGTGATAGTGCTGAGACTTAAACCCCTAGGCTGCCAGGGAGGCCCCTCCATCAAATCTTTCTATCCAAAGCCAAAATAACACCCATGTTTGCATTTTTCTAGAAAGAGCTGCAAGACTTTAAAACTATCATGCTGAATTGCATGTCCTTGAGGAGTGCCCAGGCTGTATTCCCAGCTATTGCTCAGGAGATTTGTCAGGAAGGAGTATCCAGGCCAGCTGGGAAGGACATGATGAAGAAACTAGAAAACCATATGACTGTGGAGAAGGGCCCCATGATGTGAGTAGCTCTGTTGTTATGAAAATCTGCAAAGTCTGTTGCCCACAACAGGCACATTCTAGTCTCTTGTATTGATCAGTTTGCTCATCAAAAGTATATTTCCTATGTTTGCTTTATGAGAATTAGAAGTATTTATATAAGCCTAAGGGGAAAGAGGAAAGAAAAAATACATACCTTCTCATTTTATATTGGGAAAAAAACTGTTTCTACACTAGCTACTTGAAAAGTTTTTTTTTTCCCCATGAAAGTAAGAGAGTTGTTGTAACTGTGACTGGAGATAGGTGAGATCATGATCTTCATTCTGGTCTCAGCTACAGGAACATGAGTGAGAGTCAACCCAGCTCAAACAAATTGGAGAGTTAAGATGAACATAGTCACCTAACTATTTCTCTTTATGTGCAGTGTGTTGGTGTTGGATGAGATGGATCAGCTGGACAGCAAAGGGCAGGATGTATTGTACACACTGTTTGAATGGCCGTGGCTGAGCAACTCACGACTGGTGCTCATTGGTTAGTGCTCGGTTGTTAATGCTGCATAGTGCTTGTGAAGAATTTCCTTAATTTCTTCACCTAGCACCCTTGCCTTATCTTAAGCCAGTTTTCTGCTTTCTTATCAAAATAAAATTTCTATGAAATAATAGTAATTTGGGGGGCAGTGGAACTGTAGTGTAGGCCAGAGGTGTGGGGAGTGAGAGGATTCACCAGAGACAGAGTGGGGAGCAGACAGGCAGATCTACTGAAACACTGCTGAGGGGAGCAGCGGGGAGATAGGAGAGGTCTTCTGCGCCCAGGCAGGACATGGGTCTCAGGCCATAGCGGTGATAGCACTGAGACTTAAGCCCTAGGCCCCCTAGGAGGCCCAAATATTAGTAATTTTTAATGTAAATCATGCCAGTTTTTGTTAAATCTGCATAAAAATGACATACGTAATACTGCATTTCAAGGATAATTGGCTTTTGGGGTTCTGTGTATTAGTGAACAATTCTAACCCTAACTTGAAAAGAGCAGACTGTGATGACTGTACCTCTTAACTGGTGGCGTTGGGTGAGCATGTGCAGCAGGTGGAAAGCAGACAGCCAGAATGTGGACTATAGCTGGGAATTGGATGTCACTTTCCAAGGGGCTGGCTTTCCTTTCAGGATGGTCAGTGGTGACAAGTGTTACTTCTCTCCTCAGGTGTTGCTAATACCTTGGATCTCACAGACAGAATTCTGCCAAGGTTGCAAGCTAGAAAAAAATGTAAGCCACAACTGCTGAACTTCCCACCTTATACCAGAAGTCAGATAGCCACTATCTTGCAGGACAGACTTAGTAAGGTGAGTGCCAACCTTGTGCCACATTATGTGCTCTGAGGTCACCTGTCTTGGGAATCCCAGCTATCGTCGTGAGGTATTTTGCTTCGATAGCTTTACTAATAGAGCAAGGAGTTCTTTTAGGCCATGGTGAGAACATTTTATATGAATTTCCACTCACAGCTCCATTTATTTGGCCGCCTCAGTGTTGAAATAAAAATAAGAGCTAGAGGAATCACTCAAATGCGTATTTTAGGGCATATGAAAAAAATTTTTTTGAAAATGACCAAATAGATTTAGTTTAGATTAATTTTGCTCATTTAAGTTCCCATTTTACTTAGGAACAGAAAGAGCCTAGACCCTAATGGGTGGCCAATCAAGTTTAGGCTTAAATATGAAAATATTTGTCTGACACTTACCTGACAGAGAGGGTTTTTTCTTACAGTCCAGACTCATCCTTTATTGTCTTCTCTAAGGTCTCTAGAGATCAGGTTCTAGACAATGCTGCAATTCAGTTTTGTGCCCGAAAAGTCTCTGCTGTTTCCGGGGATGTTCGAAAAGCACTAGATGTTTGCAGGTGAGTTATGGCACTGCCTGATTTTATTTAAAAAGAAGAAGAAGAAGAAGAAATGTCATTAATTGTCTCATGTAACTCAAGTGAATGTGGCTTAAGAGGTTCCATCCTGCCACTTTTTACGCTCAGAAAGGAGGACTTGTTTCTCAGTGGGGAGCTCTGCATTTCCACCGTGTTAATGTCTGAAACATTATCAGTCCATTACCTACAGAGGGAGAAACAAATGAGATGTTGCTGGCACTCCCTGTGGTGATTATAGATTGGTTAATTACATTTGTATTAAAAAAGACTCCAGTTTACTTTTCCATTAGCTGGTCTCAAGCAGGTTTATTTATGGACCTGAACCATCTTTGCCTTTAGACTTTTTTTCCCCTTCCTTTGCTTTTGTGAGCACCCCTTCCACCAGTTGGTGGTCCCCCCCCCCAGTTGTACTCCAGACCTCTCTTTCTCCCTTCCCATCCCCCTGCCCCTCCTGCTGGGGAAAGGCTCTGTGCTGACTGATGAAATTTCTTCCTTCCCAGTAGGGACACTCGGGCCATTAAAATTGCACTTGCTGTGCTGGCCTGCCGGTCCAGCCTCCCCCTACTGCCATGCAGAAGATCCAGGTCTGGCTGATGGCTTCCTGTGGGCAAAGTACTTTGGAAAGAGCAGTAGGAGAGTAAGCTAGACTGTTGCTAGATGGCATGATCCTGGATTTAAAAGTTCCCCTAGTCAGCAAACAACTTGGGTAAAGACTGTAGCTGTGAGCAGTAGTTGTGTAGATGACTGTACTCTGGCCTACACAGATCCTATGTGTATAGGACTGAGGACTCTGGTTAGGTCTGGGGTGTATGGGTGGTACTGGCTCTGTCTAGATCAGTAACTCACACTACATATCCTCTCTCCTATCCATGCCATTTTCTCCTCATCCATAATGTTACCATTGGCTCAATGTTTGATGACCTACTTGGCAACTCCAAGAGAAAACCATGTAACATTGAAGTTTCTCAGATGCCTTGGTCTGTGAATTGTTTCAAGGCAATTAAGTCCCCTTTAGCTGAGACATAGCCTTGTTTTATTTGGGGGCTTTAAAGATCTAAAAATATGTTGTTTTTTGTTAACATGACTGTTTTTGAGCATGGTGATTTGGTGTGGTGTTTGGCTTAGCTTGTCCTAGCCTAAATTAATTTTAGAAATATTTTTTTATAGGAGAGCTATTGAAATTGTAGAGTCAGATGTCAAAAGCCAGACTATCCTCAAACCACTGTCTGAATGTAAGTAGCTTATCTCTTTCCTGTCTTCTTTTATAATTGGAAGCTTGACTGTTCTGACAGAAGCGGTAAAAGGTGAAGTGGACATGGTTAATGCCACATTCACCCATTTATATGTGTGCGTTTGAAGTCACTCGCATTATTTAACCATGCCTGCCAGTGCTGTGGTCCATGTACTACTAGAAATGAGTTCCCAAGGACATTACATAAATGAGTGGGACAGAGTGAGTTTTTTCTCAAGCTCTAGGCGTGAAAACTAAAGACAGCAGGTCAGGTTAACTTCTCTCTGAGTGCTTGTGTTGAGTACAGTGTAGTCTTGCTATAGGTGAAAACAAAATCTGCTAAGTAAGAGGTAATCAGACAGTGAAAGGATTGAGTTCAGTTTGGGATATCTCATACCTTCAAACAGGTCTGAGAGTGGAGATACCAAGATGATTCTGTTCCAGTGAACTGCAGGCTATCACGAAAATGACAAAATTAGCTTTCCTTTCCTCGGCCTTGTTCTCTTATCGCCTGCAGATGTAAAATGGCCATGAACTATATACCTTGTCAGTGTTTACTGTTCATTGTTAATCTTTGAAAACAGGACAGTCTGATTTAATTGTTTTTAGAACTATAGTTCCACAGAAAACTTTCATCAACTTGTTGAAAGAAAATAAAAAATTTTCCAGAGGTAGCCAAACTTACTGCCCAGACTGATGGCAGCTAATATATGCCAATGCATGGATGTGAGGCTGAATTCTCTTCTGTTTTGTAGATTATTCCCTTTCTCCCCTACACATAATATCTAGGTTTTTCAGTGGCCCCTTGAATACAGCCAGCACACAAACATAGCTAAAAGACATTGTAAGTTCCTGGCAGAAATGATTTGACCAACCTAGCTCCTATCTGTTGACTTCTGGTATATGTGCAAGTAGCTTTTAATGACTTTAGAAAGCTGTTTGGAGACTGACTTCAATGAAGTATAAGAAGCACAGTTTTTTTTTTTTTTTTTTAATTATTTATGCATACAAGAACTGGGGTACAGGCTAGACGTGCAGGAGCTAAGAGGATTCAGCAGAGACAGCGTGGGGAGCAGAATAGGCAGATCCACTAAAATACACTGCTGAGGGGAGCAGTGGGCGGGACAGGAGTGGTCTGCCACACCATGTGGGTCAGCTCCCTGCCTGGGATCCAACTCGTGCTGCAGTAGCTGCAGACAGCTTCATAATGCTACACTTTACCCCTTGTGCCACCAGACAGGCCCCTAGGAACATAATTTTTAATAACTGGCACTAACTGGGCTGTTTTGGCATAGAGGAGATTCCCTAGCATTGAAGCTACTCAACCAAAATGGAAGATGACCACTTGCTGGCCCTGTGGTCAGCCAGCAGCTAGGGACCAAACATAGATCTCAAAATCCCTTTCAGCCTTAATATCCCATTACTTGATCAAGGCTCTAGTTCCTCTCTACTGCTATTGGTCCTTCGCAGCATCCATGTGTGGTAGTGAAACAGAAGCATGTTGCCGGCCAATTGCACATGGACTTTGCCTGAAGTAACTTCAGAGCAAATCCCTCCTCTGTCCTGCAATTCATGCGTCTCCAAACAATGAGGCTACATCCTATGTGGCTTGTTGGCAGTTTCTCAGCTTCCGGCCTCTGAGGTACTGTCTGCTAAGATAACCCATCAAATTTTCTCAAGTGTTTGGGATATCTCATACCTTCAAACAGCTTGGGCAGATGGATCAAACCTCAGAAATCATCTGGGGGAGCTTTGGGGAGGGCTGATGTAAAGAGTGACTTGTCCACATTAAGCCACTCATTTGATTCAGACTATTAGGTAATTTTTGCCGACTTTTTTTCTCCTTTCTTAATTGTCAGGCCCAGTCATTATCGTGGCTTCCTGGTTCTGTTCTCCTTTACTTTTGAGCTATTAGGAACTTCCAAGAGAGAATACAGTAGTCTGTGATCCTTATTTTTCATGAGCTGCATTTTGACTCTGTTACTAAATCACAGAGTAGTTTACCATTCTGCCCAGAAAAAGGGTAACTGCTTTCCCAGTCATCTCCCATTAGTTATGCATCCTTCTGAGATTAGTGTTGTCTCCAGTGACAGGACCTTTGCTTTGCTCACCACACTACTGTATCTGAATTTCCTGTGGTTAAAGCTTGGTATCATCTGTCTTGATGCACATTATTTCTAAACTCTCATTAAGTTCAATTTATTTACTTCATAGGTAAATCACCCTCTGAGTCACTGGTTCCCAAGCGTGTCGGCCTTGTTCACATATCCCAAGTCATATCAGAAGTTGATGGCAGCAGAATGGCTTTGAAGCCACAAGGAGCACAAGATTCCTTCCCTCTTCAGCAGAAGATCCTGGTCTGTGCTTTGCTGCTCTTGACCAGGCAGTTGAAAACCAAAGAGGTCACTCTGGGGAAGGTTAGTTGGGAATCTCAGCATCTAGCGCCAGGGTGGAGATGAGAATCTGTTTTGCAGAGCAGATATTTTCCAAAAGGCCTATTTAGGCTCCAGCTGATATGAATTAAAAATGGATTTTAACAGTAAGAAATAAATACTGGTACCATATAACAGGCAGCTGATTTTATTTCCCATGGGTTGTGGTTGAAAATTTACCATTAATCTTTTCCCCTTCATTTCTGCCTCTCTCTGTGGGATATATAAAGCCCTTCCAGCATTGCAGTGTAGATTCTTGACAGTAGCTACACAATGTCTGTTCAAGAACTTTATTGAAGAGAGGAAGTTAAACTGTTCATACAACATTTTTGCAAAATCAGACTTCACATTTTTAGAAGATTATAAGAGATGGAACTTTGAAGTGACATTTGTTCTTCCTTGTCTCCTCCAGTTATATGACGCCTATAGTAACGTCTGTCGCAAACAGCAGGTGGCAGCTGTGGACCAGTCAGAATGTTTGTCACTTTCGGGGCTCTTGGAGGCCAGGGGCATTTTAGGGTTAAAGAAAAACAAGGAAACACGCTTCTCCAAGGTACAGATGACTGCTTCTTAGTGTGATGCAGCTTTTGAGTGCTCTGTTTTAGAGAATGTATCTTTTACTAAAAATAAAGATTAAAAAAATTACCCTAATTAAATAAATGATTGGTTTTTTGCTAGATAGGGTTACCTGGGAGGATGGGACTGGAGTGTAAGCGAGATGCTTGGTCAGGCCATTGAAAGAGCAGTGTTTAACTTGACTCTTGTGAGAAAGGGGTGACATGGTAGAAGGTGGTGTGATAAAACCTTATGAGTTGTCCACCATGAAATGTTCTTTTCTTTTTTCTAGGTGTCCTTGAAGATTGAAGAAGAAGAAATAGAGCATGCTCTGAAAGACAGAGCTTTAATTGGAAATATTTTAGCTACTGGATTACCATAAATTCTTTTATTTTATCCGAATCCTCCATCCATCAGTATCCAGCTGATATTTAGAGAGCTCTGGAGTCTTCGTTTTAGTGTGTTACACACTGAGGTCTGAAAACAAGTAAGGCCTTTTTACTTGAAATGGATCAGTTTTACTTGACTGATTCATGAACATTAGCACAAAATAATATTTTGGGATCTTACTGTTTTTACACATTAAAAATGACCAACTGGACCCTTTTTAATTATGCTCGCTACCTCTACCACTTGTGTGTCTGTGAGCAATATTGCCTGTATGTGTGTACGTTAATGTTGTAGGGTGTATGTCTAGTCACCTCGTTTCCTCAAACCATTGGTATTTTTTGAAGAGCTTTGGGACTAGAAGAATGAAAAAGTAATCCAGGAAAATAAACAAGTCTACATGGAGGTTTGGAGGACACTTTAATCAGAAAAATTTCTTTTTGGAGTATACTGTGTTCATGTTGCAGATACTTCCACATTGTGACATTTTAAAGACTCATTGAGTTTCTTGGGCATTCCCAAGGCCATGGGAGTGGGAAGGAGAATGGAACTACAGATTGTGAGCATATTTATTTTCATGTGGCATGCTTTGTCTTTTTAAGCATTTCAAGAGCACACAAGTTTTCAGAAGGCAATGTGAAAATCCTTCCCCAAACTGGCCCTGTAGTCTCAACTGTCTTCAGATAGAGCCGCTTATTTCAGGGTGCCTTAGTCTGGGGTTGGATTTTCAAATGAACCTCATGTTTTTCTACTCTTATTAGATAAATTAATCCATATGGTTTCAGGTCCCTGTGTCTGCGTTGGATTTCCAGTGGCAGTTTGTGATGGGGACACCAGAGGGCACCATGATAGCACTGACTACCCTGGGAGGGCAGGGGTGGGGCTGGGGTAGTTTTGAGGGAAGGTGAAAAAAAAAGACTCAAGTTTTCGAGCCTGCTATACTTTTCATGATTCGAGTAAATGTTTGGAATGCCAACCATGTGTGAGGGCTGGCCGGTGCCAAGTCTGCGCTTTTCCTGCTACCTCCTCCTGCCTCGAACATGGACTTGAGTTGGGAACTTGATATGTGTACAAAAGATCTGCCGGCCACCGGTTCATTCATGCTGCCCACTGTCTGCTTGCAATGTGAGCTGGCGTGCAGCAGGTGATACAGGGCAGGAGACGGGTGCACAGAGAGCCCTTCGAAATGAACACGATCCGCAGCGCAGAAGCAGAGCAGAGCCCGAGGACAGAGCGTAAGCATTGTCTCACCTCACCTTCCTTCATTAGAGCATCCATGCCCTCCGAGGGTCTTTGGGAGAACAGCCCTGTACCCACTGGCTTGGGAAGGGGGAGGCTTTAAGGGGTTAATAAGTATAATTGCAAAGATTGTCCGAAGGCTGATGGAAAGCAGAGACTGAACGGGATTGAGAACAGATGCGAGGCTTGATTTAAATTACATTTTATTGGATGCTGCAGCCTTAAGAGACGTGACTGCTTTACAGTTTGTTTCCACACTGTGGGCAGCTGCTGTCTGTTCTGTGTCCACAGTAGGATCCTGCCCAAAAAAGAACGGCCTCCCCACCTCGTTGTGTTTGAGGCTTGGCACCTTCCTCGGAGCTGTGGGCTTGCTTCGGGAACACGGCCTGCCTCGCAGTGGGACGGCCAAGCATCCTCCATGGCTCTGAGCCAAGATCACGTTTACAGATTGAAAGGGGCCACGTTTCTCTCCCCTCTACCTCTTTCCCCTTCCCTTGGTATTTGGAAATGGGGTTTTGTGTGCACTGGTTTGTTAGTCTCTTTCCCTTCAGTTCTCACCCCCACTCCCACCCCCCACTGTCGATTTCTAGGTCATTGCTGCTCTTAAGACTTAGCAATTGGAACAGGGTTGGTTCTGTCAATGATGCGTGAAGCCGACTTAGAGTCCCTGCTTGGCTTCCGCTGCCCTTGTGGGAGCAGAAGCTGATGTGTTTGTCAGTGGAGTCTTCAGTGTAGTTCAGACAGCCAGGAAGCAGACTGAGGGGAAGAAGGTCCTTGCTGGCTTTTCTCACCAAAGCTGAGAGCTTTGGGAAGGTGGTGATGGATGCAGTGGAACAGGATGGCTCGTTTTGCCAGGATCATAGGCTACCTCACACACAAGTGGCAAACGTGATGACCTACATTCTCCCTCTTGAAGGTGGTGGGGTGTGCGCCTATATTCTGCTTTATATTCTTCAAAGAAGCAGATTAAGCCTCCATACAGCGTTGGTGGGGATTGCCATGGAAAGAACAGACACAATAAAGTTGGTGTGAGCTTCAACCCCAGAGCTGCCACTGACATTTCTGGCTCAGTGAAGACTTGCCTGTGGCTAGATAACTGGCAAGTGTGTGAGGTCCAAGCTACCCAGAGATCAAAAAAGTTGGCAGAGCCCTGTTCTCGTTCCCCACCCACCCTTGCTCCCTGCTTTTATCCAGTGCTCTTTTAAGACATAACAGTAAGAAGTGGGGATGCGATAGGACTTGGGGGAGTTACCTGGACTCCTGAAGGGGGCCAAATGAGAAAGCAAGATTGAGGTATGCCCCCTCCCCAGCACTACCCTGCGCCACTCTGGGAGGGATTCAGTAAACAATTGCTGAATGAACAGAAAAGTGAACAAGTAAGAGGCCTTCCCTCCAAGCCCGGGACGGCTCTAATCCGTGGCAAGCACGCATGCGTTGCGCTGAGGTAGGGCAGGCCCTGTCGGCACCTTGCCCCAGCTCACAGGTCTGTCTTGGCAGTTGTGGGACCTCCACTGGCCTCACCTCTGCTGTTCCAGTCGCTCCCTCTGATGTATTTTGCCTGAGGCAACTTCATGAGCTTCCAGGAAGCCAAAAGTCCTGCCCACTGGCTGGGGAAAGGGCTGCCTGTCTAGATGCTCCCTGTACCCCGGGAGACTGGCTGGACTACCTGGCAGTTGTACCTCTAGTTGGATAAGGGAGGGACCCACCTTTGATGTCCCACTTCAACTTATGGGGAAAGTTGTGATCTCGGGTTCCTCCTGAAAAGGTGAGGTGCCCTCTAAGACAGTCTCTTTTAAGCTACACACAGCAGCAGGTTGCCCTCTGCTCTGAAGGGAGAGAAGGTGTGCCCTCTGGCCTCCCCTTGATTTTCAACCCCAGCCCCAAGGCACTGGCAGTAGAAACTAATTGGGTGCAAGGGGCCTGCGCAAAGGCTGTCTGAAGACTGGCGAAAGGAGAGAGCCAGCTCCTTTTTTAAAAAGCCCTAATTGAGTTCTGAATCAGCCTCGCTCCCTTTGATCCCTCCTCTGTTTCCCACACTGCCTGAAAGAGCTAGATCAGCACTTTATAACAAGGGTGCGCCTGCTCCCCACACCCGCCCCCCCTCTCCTGACGCTCTCTGCCGCCATCCACTGCTTGTCTCCTTCAGTTAAGATAATGAAGATGCTGAGAGATAAAATGTGTATTTAATAAGGGTGGGGGTAGGGAGGCGGAAAAGGGCAGCCAGGGCCTTCCCTAGTTTGGGGCCTAGCCAAGACTGAGCTGAAAGCAAAGCTAGAGTAAAACTTGGCCCCAGGGTGTGGGGGTTTCTGGGCCTCCATCCAGCTGACTTCACTGCCTGCTGTTTGCCCTAAATTCCCCCACCTCCACCCTCTCACCCCCACACTCCTTTCTTTCCTCTCTCCTTGCTCCGGATGGGAGAAGGGAGCCTTGCAAGCTTCAACTTTATTTTCAGCTGGTAACTTGGTCTTCGGTGTGGTGCCCCGTAGCCCAGAGTCAGCTGCAAGGTCGAGCTAGGGCAGCCCCCCTGGCCTCGGCCTGTAGAAGCTGTGGGTTCACAGTGGGGGGTGGAAGAGCTGGAGTTAATGAAGACCAGCTGCTAGTCTGGGTTCTGCCTACGGCTAGCTGGAGGCCAGCCTTCACAGTGGTTAGAGGTACGGGGTGCGTGACCTCCATCCCGGGCACAAGGATATCCTGTGGCAGCTGAGGCTTGTGCTTCTCTTGAGCTTGGTTTTAGCCTCACTTTGTGAGAGGGTAGTCTGTTTCTGTCTTCCCCTACCCCGCCCCTCCCCAAATAACACTCAGCCCTTATTGAGCATTATAACTGTAGTGGTGGCCCAGCTGAGATCTGAGGATCTCCAAGCTCTTTTGTAAACACTCATTAACTGCCTGGGAAGAACCGAGAGCCCTGTTTAACAGCTGGGAGAGAACTGAGGCACTTTAGGGTGAGAGGCTTGACCTGAGCTCACCCCAGGACTCCACCCCGGGCCCTCCATCCTTGGTTTCTTCCTGCAGGACAGAGGAGGTGGAGGCAGGACTGCTGCCCTCTCCCCTTCTAGGAAGAGGCCACGCTCTCCTTTGGCCCTCAAACCTGGCCCTGACTAAGCCTGGCCCTGACTTCCCCTGGCCCTTCACCCCATGACACTTTCCCTGCTCTGGGCTGCTACTGGAGATGGCATGCAACTCCTTGCAAAATGTCCTCAGTCCAGCGCCCCGTGGACCTCCATGCACCTCACCCTGTCCCCACCCTGGGCTCTCCCTTTGAGCTGTCAACAAGGTTGCCGGCCCTAAGCCAGGTCTGAAACTAGAAACTGATCTAATTGTAATCAAAGGGCCCTCTGTCTTCTGCACCCCCATGTCACCCCTGCATGGTACCAGAAGCATTCTCCAATTTATTCTGTCCGGTACAGTCTCAGGGTCCTATTACGGGCTGGGTGACCCCTATCTTCTGCACCCTGTTCTTCCTCAGACCCTGCCTGTCCCACCCATGGGTGGAGTCTGATGTCTCCATCCCCACACGCCCTCACCTGCACATGTGTACCACACACCTCCACCCACCCAGACTCACATCACAGTCCCTGCAAGCAGAACTACCAGCTCCCACTGTTACCCAAGTCTTTCTGCCCTTTTTACTGCTGGAAACCAGGCTTTCCACCCACTCTGGCGTCGTTGTAGGCATTTAGAACATCGGGGAGGATAGCAGGGAGCACCAGTCCAAATGAACGCCCCATGCCAATGTTCTGCCCCATGCCAATGTTC